TGCTAAAATGTATATGAAAATACTAATTTTTCAATGTAAAGCAAGTACTGGAGAAGGTTTTCTCACCACGAGTTCATTCGGACCTTCAATAGCGTGGAAAATCGTGGCACCGATGAGGAGGTAGGCAAACAGTAAGCAAACCAGTCCAACATGGGGCAATATTCGCTTCGCATACTAAATGGGATATTTCACATCAGTCTCCCTGGATTATAGATATAAATCCAATCCAAGACCTGTTGAAGAATTGCAAATGTTAACATGCAAATTCAGAAAGCCTGGTGCAAAATCATAAACAAAGAGTCAGTTGACTTCAAACTCTTTTCAAAGTTTTTATACGGTTCTGTTACACAATTGCAACTGCTTAACAGAGAAGTATTTATAGTCATGGTAACATCAGAATACAGCACGAGTTATTTGCTGTATCAGGAAGCAGTCGCAGTCAAAAAAGATTCATTTAAAGTTTTTTTTGATTGAACAAATGATTGTTTCTACCAAATAAATATGAATTTATAGCCCTATAGCTATTGATCAATCAATTGCAAGAAACGATTAAAAGTCTTGAAAGCGTACAATTATGTATTTTCTGTCCCTGGTCTCCAGATCTGTCTCATCATCGGAGATTGGTGGTCCAGATGCGGTCAAGTCCATTTCCATCGGGATTTCATGTAGCGACGAGCTTGAGCTTTCGGTGCCCTGACATCATCCATAAAACTAACGAGAACTCTGCACATAGTTGCAAAAGTGAATGGTTCAAAAAAAGTGCAAGAAGGGACTTTGTTTTTTCCAAAATTTAAGATCCTTCATATGACTGAAACACTTACCATGTCGAAATTGTCATCGTTTTGGACATACATCCTTGTGATGTGTATGTATATTACCGCATTTGACGACCAATCATTGAGCTAGATGTTCAACACTCAAATCGATGCAATAGACAGATGATGCGAATGCTATAGCAATTCGTAAGGTTGACAGCTGCCACAAGCATTCGACTAGGTGTAAAAGAAAAGAAATGACATGTTAATGAAGTGCGGCGTCCAGGTATATTTTAGGCAAAAACAGCTTTTGTGACAAATATAGCAATTTTTCCCATATGGTGTTTGCTCAGTAGTTCCTTAAAACTCTTCTAACATATAAAACACTTGGCCAAAGTTAGAATAACTTTTCCTCATTAGATAGTAATTATCTCATTTTGTCTAGACCAATTTCGGCAGCAGAGTTAACGAGAACAGACCAAACGGAAAACATTGAATTGCTCCATACTATCTAAACATAGTATTTTAATGCAAAACTCTGCTTATGTGCTATTATCATGCGGTTCATAAAAGTACTCCCAATAATACAATCGTTATGTTCTTTTGAAAACTAGGGAGAAACTCTTCTTGTTGTGAAGGAAACCAGGCCAAAGAATAAACGTCCAATTTTTAACTTGTATTATGTGTTCAATCAAGAATTATTGCGCCTAATACGATGGTACATTTTCTAGTACTATTATACAGTCAAAAGAACTGAAAAATTTAAGTAGAGAAAAAATCAAAAAGCTCTTGATAGTAGAGAGAAATATCCTGCTGCATCGCAAATCAATTCTAAAGAACTATTTGTTTGCTACATATT